ATGGTGCCTCGAGGACACTGAGTATCCCACCTACGAGATCAAACACGCTGCCGAGTACCACTACGAAAAGGTCCTCTCCCTCTATGCTGACGTAGTTGATCTTAACACTGAGCTGTCAGTCGAGCGGCCAAACACCCTGGAGGAGGAGACTTACTTGTGCCCATCTGAGACCGCTTACGTGAGGCCCCTTCGTGCCCAGAACACCGAGGGTAAATGGCGCGTGATTGTTAACAATATCGATGCCCATTATCAGACTCTTACTCAGACTACACGCATCGAAGAGTGCCTGACCTCTGGCGACGCATGCCCTCTGGTGCCTGATTGCTACGAGTCCAAGTGCCTGCAGAAGTCCATCTACCACCGCTTCCTCGTCTACGACCCCTATGATCAGTACTTCCCCTTCGCCATCGAGACATTCAAGCTTCCCGCCAGCTGCGCTTGTCTCCTGGGCGCCTACACCATCGACCATTAACCACGAAGCCACTAATCGGAAAGTCCATTTAATGGGGAAAGTGACCTCATCAGCGTGAGCGACATCTTAAGCTCCCCAGTGACCTGGCAACAATAGTGAAAGGCATACCATACTTGGAATGCCTTTAAGTACGTGAAGAAAGCAGTTCTCTAGTCATCTTGCTGTGATAATATTGACAGAAATGATGAAAATTCACTAGAAATGGAAATAAATATTATTTTAAGACGTTCTTAATATCTATCAACCTATTGACAAAGAATATCCGATATCGTCAACTACAAGGAAATAAAACATATAAGTACACAAATACACACATACACACGAACAGTTAGGCAAGGTTTTATTCTTTCATCGTATTTATCCAATTTCTATGCAGATAAAATTATAAGAGAAACAACGGAGAAGTTTGAAAGTACTTTCAAAATTGGAGGCAGAAATGTGCCAAAGGTTAGATATGCAAATGATGTTCTACTTGCCGGATCAATTCCAAGATTTAGTCAATCCAGTAAAGAAAAGTGGAATAGGATTATACTTAAATGTGAGAAAATCCAAATTAATGAAAGTAGAAAGAGACCATCAGACATAGCATAATCTGTAATGATGTCTCTTTAACGAAAGACATCTATCCCATTATAAATGAAAAAAAAACTTCATCAGTGTTTCCTATTGCTAGTTAAGGATCAGAATGTTGGGTAATGAAGAATGGCAGGAAAAGAATGGAAACTTTTGAACTGTGGTGCTATAGACGTTTACTTCGTGTTAGCTGGACCGATTCACAGGACAAATAGTCAGGTATTAGATAAAATAGAGGCAGACATTTTTTTTTTTTTGAGAATATTAAATACCATCGACAGACGTAAACTGAAGTACGTTGGTCATGTGGCAAGAAGTGATAATTTGGGTAAAAATCAAATGATGGGCTTGGTTTATGGTAAAAGAAAGATTCAATACTTAGATAATATCAAATAACTGATCATTCCGTTTCATGACAATATAAATATACATATACATGTTTATGAATATGTATATACATATGTATATATAGATAGATAGATAGACATGAATAGACACACATATATATAATTAAAAATTGATAGTATAAGCGAGGTTGTTAAGTCTGAAAAAAATCGAAATCTGAATTTTTCTCTTGCCAGATAGAAAAAATGTCATCAAAATAAACTAAAAATCAGACTTAACATTCCACCTTTCAGGTAACTCAGATCTTCATTCGAGGATGTAATGTAAATTTATATATATACATGTAAATATGTCTATGTATATATTATCATCATCATCAGCCTAAATCACTCCGCTGCAGGACTTAGGCCTCTCCCAATCTTTTCCAACTTTGTCTGCCTTGCATTTTTTGATTTCATAATATCGTCACACTATCTTGTCATTGGTCTGGCCCTTAACCTCTTTATGTTATCTATAGTCGAGTCTGTTACTTTCTTTATCCATCTGTCGTCCTGTCTCTGACATATATGACTTGCCTGTTGCCATTTTTTCTTTTTGATGCTTCCTCTTTTGTCTGTTCCCTGATTCACGTTGCCTTCATCCAATCTCTCAAGCTAATTCCCAGCATCAACCTCTCGGTTCCTCTCTGGGTGTGCCTGAAGGTTAGAGACAGCAGTCTCTGATCGAGCCACAGAAAACCTGACATCCCAGTTGTTCTGTGGGAGACCTTCAAGCACGAAATACTTGAAGCAGTGCAGGAGGCCATTGGCGATGCCCCAAGGGCAAGGCAGAATTTCATATGCCTGGAGACATTGAAGGCCACTGATGTGTATCGCATGGCTCGGCAGAATGGCAATCAAGAATTGCGCTGTTCCTTGGTGTGGAGGGCTTGGACACTGGGGGGGGGGGGGGGGGGGGGGGGGGGGGGGGGGGGGGGGGGGGGGGGGGGGGGGGGGGGGGGGGGGGGGGGGGGGGGGGGGGGGGGGGGGGGGGGGGGGGGGGGGGGGGGGGGGGGGGGGGGGGGGGGGGGGGGGGGGGGGGGGGGGGGGGGGGGGGGGGGGGGGGGGGGGGGGGGGGGGGGGGGGGGGGGGGGGGGGGGGGGGGGGGGGGGGGGGGGGGGGGGGGGGGGGGGGGGGGGGGGGGGGGGGGGGGGGGGGGGGGGGGGGGGGGGGGGGGGGGGGGGGGGGGGGGGGGGGGGGGGGGGGGGGGGGGGGGGGGGGGGGGGGGGGGGGGGGGGGGGGGGGGGGGGGGGGGGGGGGGGGGGGGGGGGGGGGGGGGGGGGGGGGGGGGGGGGGGGGGGGGGGGGGGGGGGGGGGGGGGGGGGGGGGGGGGGGGGGGGGGGGGGGGGGGGGGGGGGGGGGGGGGGGGGGGGGGGGGGGGGGGGGGGGGGGGGGGGGGGGGGGGGGGGGGGGGGGGGGGGGGGGGGGGGGGGGGGGGGGGGGGGGGGGGGGGGGGGGGGGGGGGGGGGGGGGGGGGGGGGGGGGGGGGGGGGGGGGGGGGGGGGGGGGGGGGGGGGGGGGGGGGGGGGGGGGGGGGGGGGGGGGGGGGGGGGGGGGGGGGGGGGGGGGGGGGGGGGGGGGGGGGGGGGGGGGGGGGGGGGGGGGGGGGGGGGGGGGGGGGGGGGGGGGGGGGGGGGGGGGGGGGGGGGGGGGGGGGGGGGGGGGGGGGGGGGGGGGGGGGGGGGGGGGGGGGGGGGGGGGGGGGGGGGGGGGGGGGGGGGGGGGGGGGGGGGGGGGGGGGGGGGGGGGGGGGGGGGGGGGGGGGGGGGGGGGGGGGGGGGGGGGGGGGGGGGGGGGGGGGGGGGGGGGGGGGGGGGGGGGGGGGGGGGGGGGGGGGGGGGGGGGGGGGGGGGGGGGGGGGGGGGGGGGGGGGGGGGGGGGGGGGGGGGGGGGGGGGGGGACACTGCTGAGATGGGACAATGAATAGTTCGTCAGGAGCCTTGCTGCAGAAGTTGAAGGCCATTTCTTCACCCTGCCTACCAAGCCCTAAGCTATACATACATATACATACTTATACATACACACTTCATAAGTTTAAACGCGCATGTGTCTTGCTTCCGTGCTTACACGCTCATATTTGTGCACAAGCGTTTGAACAGCGTCTGCCTGAGCGCACATACGCATTCAATTATAATGAGCCCATGCATTATAATGTGCATAAACTGTAGGCTCGCAGCAGAGGGGTTGAGGTAAGGAGGCGGATGATGTGCGAGAGGAGGATTTAGAACAGCGTTGGAATGGGTAAGGGTGGGGTTTGGGGTTAGAGGAAGTTAGAAAGGTGATTTTGTATTTAGCAGTTTTTGGAAGACATGTCGCATTCCTTAGTGGTTGCTAAGCTTACTCGGCAGACAGCATCTGGCACTCGGCGTCAACGTCAGGCACTCTGGTTGAGGTGCCTTCCCTTGAATTACGCTTTGTTAATGCATAGTTTATCTAGTGGATCTTTCGTCGAGTGACTGATTATACCATGTTTAAGGCTACCTGATTTTGTCATGTACTGACTTACCTACTGGCAGTTTGGCTGTTCCTTAGTGAATCTACTGAGGAAAAAATTGTAATACCTGTGCGGTTTGGCACTGTTATTCAGCGTCCTGTTGGTGATAGAGGATCCTGAGACTTAGGGGAATTCCGACATAGATTATTGCCTTAATAACAAGTCTATAGACTGGTACTGAAAGGGCTGTAAAGTGTGGTGGGGGCCTGTCGAACTTCAGGGGGGAGGCAAGGCTGTGTCCTTGCACCAACACTTTTCAGCACTTACATGGAATGGATAATGGGCAAAACTACTATCCAAAGTCAGTGTGGAGCAACCTTGGGCAATATCAATGTCATTGACCTCGACTTTGCCGACGATGTTGCTATTCTATCAGAGTCTCTGGAATTACTGGTGGCGGCTTTCAATGTATTCAGCAATGAGGCGAAACCTTGGGCCTAACGGTCTATTGGACCAAGGCCAAGATCTCGGATTTTAGAGAAACTTGTTCAGTCTTGTCCCTATGCCGAATCATGGGGTACAGTTGGCAAGACCATGTATCCAGTCGACGGTTACAACGCGAAACTGGTATGGGACCTATTACTTGCATAATATGTGATCGCCAATGCAGGCTATTTGGGCACTTAGCTTGTTTCCCTGTGGATGACCCTACCCATCAGGTTGTCTCTTTGTGAGACAATTCTGGCTGGAGGAGGCCCTTGGAACGACCTAGGAGGTCATGGCTTGGGCAGCTTGACCAGTCCTGTCGCGAGGAGTTAGAGATGGGCTGAGGGCCTGCCCGGAGACTCCCCATGAGGCGCTAGCCCCCTAAATGATAATGATCATGTATGTACATGTATATACATTTATGTATATACATAAACACACATATATATACGCGCGAGCGTGTGTGTGTGTGAGAGAGAGGGGCATATAGATATAAATATGCATATAGATATATATGTCTGTGTATATGTGCGTGTGTCAGGGAGTCTGGAGTATCTATATAAAATTACAAATTTTACTTCTCTCTTAGTTAAAGGTTTAGATCTTACCTGTGAAGAGGCGAATAAATATTCGAAAAATATATATATTTTTTATTATGTTCCATGCGACAAAGGGTTTAAATAGGCTATGTTCAAAATAGATAATATGTATAGATGTTATCACAGCAAGATGATCAGAGAACTGCTTTCTTCACGTACTTTAAGTTATTTCAGGGCCAGTATGCCTTGCACAGGTGTTCCCAGGTTACTAGAATTATTTTATTTTAATAATAAGGGTCAGATCCAATCCCCTTAAAAGTGGCGTGAGATTATTGGCTTCGTGGTTAATGGTCGATGGTGTAGGCGCCCAGGAGACAAGCGCAGCTGGCGGGAAGCTTGAATGTCTCGATGGCGAAGGGGAAGTACTGATCATAGGGGTCGTAGACGAGGAAGCGGTGGTAGATGGACTTCTGCAGGCACTTGGACTCGTAGCAATCAGGCACCAGAGGGCATGCGTCGCCAGAGGTCAGGCACTCTTCGATGCGTGTAGTCTGAGTAAGAGTCTGATAATGGGCATCGATATTGTTAACAATCACGCGCCATTTACCCTCGGTGTTCTGGGCACGAAGGGGCCTCACGTAAGCGGTCTCAGATGGGCACAAGTAAGTCTCCTCCTCCAGGGTGTTTGGCCGCTCGACTGACAGCTCAGTGTTAAGATCAACTACGTCAGCATAGAGGGAGAGGACCTTTTCGTAGTGGTACTCGGCAGCGTGTTTGATCTCGTAGGTGGGATACTCAGTGTCCTCGAGGCACCATGGCTTGGTTGTATTGGCGGCGCATGCTGGCACTGCAGGCTCGTGTCCATGTTCGTAGGAAGGCTGTGGATGGTAAGCGGGCGCAGGGTGGTATGCAGGCTGAGGATGGTAGGAGGGTTGTGGGTGGTAGGCAGGTTGATGGTGGTAAGACGGCTGTGGGTGGTATGAAGGCCTTGCGTGGTGAGAGGCGGAGTGGTGAGAAGTGTGGTGGCCGCCGAGACTGATGCTAACGTGCGAGCTCTGATCAGCCAGAGCTGCGACCACCAAAGAAAGTAAAACCTGCAAAACCGGATTAGGATACGATTGGTTAAACTTATATATCTCTAGATATATTGATGTCTGTGTCTATGTGCATAAGGTGTGTGAATGTGCGTGTGGGTGTCTAATAATAATATAATGTGTACGTGTGTATATAGAAAGAGAGCAAACAGAGACGCACAAACGCTCATTCATTATGCACACACGCACATATATATATGTATATGTATATATATGTATATATCTATTATACTGTGTAGGTATGATTCAAATACATGCATGAACCTATGCAGTATGAACAAGCATCCATAATCATATATAACACATGTACACATATTTGTGCGCATATATCTATGTACATACATTACCGCATACACACATATTGTGTGTTTGTAAACACAAATTGTACATACATTCATTTATATATATAAATCGTGATAAACTCACCACTACGCGCAAAGCCATGTTTGTAATCTCAGCGCACGACGCTTTGGAACTGTAGCTCTCACCTTGATGGACCTTCGTTATATACAGAACGCCGTCCCCCCCACCCCCTCCCCTTTAACCTCCAAGGGAAAATTGAACAGCAGATTTTAACTATAAGAATCCTCATAATTATCTCCGTTTGAGTACTGTCATATATATAAATATATATATTTATATGTGTGTGTGTATGTGTGTGTGTGTACATATACATATATATATGTGTGTGTGTGTCTACGAATACATATATATACATAAATATGTATGTATGCATATATACATATATATACAAATATGTATGTATATATATACATATATATAAATATGTATATATATACATATAGATATTTACATGTAAAAGTACATGCAATCACACACATACATACGCATATATGTGTGTGAAACTTTGATACAGTAAGTCAGACCTAGATACGGAAGGGGGTGAGTTTATCGTAGATATAATGATGAGTTGAGGACCACCAGCAAAGATTAACAAAACAACTACTTCCCCGGGGAAGGACCATTAATCAGCCACTCAACTACATGATATTATCATGGCGCCAAGTAGTTTGCCAAATACAGCATCGGTGATGACGCGAATATGTTATGATATATATATACACATATATATACACACATGTATGTGTGTATATATATGTATATATACCCCCCCCACACACACACACGTGTGTGTGTGGTGTGTGTTTGTTTGTATAATTGTGTGTGTGTTTGTATATATATGTGTGTGTGTATGTGTATGTGTGTGTGATATATATATACATATATATATATATAGGGAAGGATCATGGGTCAGCCACCCCGGTTTAAAGCATGATGTCAACATCTAGCCAAGTAGTACCGCAACGTTAGAGCACAAATGTGATCTACATGTGTGTGTGAGAGAGAGAGATAGAGAGTGTGTGCATTTATGCATATATATATATGTGTGTGTGTGGTAGACATATATGTATGTATTATGCAATATATGTATACATATATAAATACACACATAAATGTTCTTAATACACATATGTATGTTCTTACCTAGTTGTTTGAATACGGGAGAAGACATAAGCTCAGTTGGTCCCGTCTGATTTCTTTAAATTATCGTATAACTTTTGTGTGCATGTTTGTCTGTTTGAAAAAAATAATAATGAATAAAAGAATAAGTTCATTTCAGCGACCCAGTAATTTTTATCATCACTGCTATAATCGATTAAATTTAGTCGCCTGGTATGAGCAAGTGAACCTCCAAAGACACACAGCGTCCGCCCCTTAACTTGGCCCTCAACTGCTGTAGGGTGTGGCTTTGTTTGCGACCCGGACGAATGGCTGCTACGCCTCCTCTTGCTCCCGCCCGCGAGATAAGTCGACAAACTAAGACGATGAGTTGACAAGAGTACAGTATGAATATGTAGAAATGAAACAATTATGCGCACGCACACACACACACACAACTATATACATATATATACATATATATGTATGTATATATGTATATATATACACATGTGTGTGTGTGTGTGTATATATATATATGTATATATATGTATATATATATATATATATATATATATATATATATATATATATATATTTATATAGATGCATAAATATATATATTATATGTATATGTAGGTTAGAAAATCCCACAATGCACAAACTAGACTTATTAAAAAAGAGACAACGGTTTCGAAATACTCCAAATATTCCATCTTCAGACCTGAAGGTGGAATTCGGGAGGATTTTTTATATATCAAGCTTGTTTATTGTGTTTTTTCTGCCATACCATCAACACGGTAGAGTATTTTATCATATTGTACATATATATATATATATATATATATATATATATATATATATATATATATGTGTGTGTGTGTATATATATATATGGAATCCAATAAGAAGCGTACCGTAGATGGCAAAAGAGAGGCATCTTCATGTAAATATTGCGCAAACCCAGAAGTCGCGTACGGATCTAATCATGTTATAATGAGGGCCCCGCCAAAACTGTCGGAGTCTCCTTTGGCGCTACGACTCAAGATGATAATTGCAGCTCCGTCCTCGCACGCCGACACGACCTTCATGCCCATACAAACCAAGTGTGGACGGCCTAATAAAGGCCTATGAACTACACACTGCCAGCATTCTTAAAATAATGTTACTAATCTTGTCAGCATGGATTCAGATGCGACAGTGGTGCATAGGCCAGTGCTGTTGACTTGTTTTGTTTCATATGTGAAATAGGTCCCCTTTTCATCTTTACTTGCAATGGTAATCATATGGGTAAATGTGTTATTTAATGGTTACAGACATAATATGAAACACAACCAATGAGTGAGTAAGTAACATTTGCGTAGTCTAGCTTCGCCCGGGCTTTCCATATATGTGGGCCGGCAAAACTACAACATTCATTCATTCGTTTGAGATTTGCGAAGTCTAGCCTCGACAGGGCCTTCCATATATGTGGCCCGGTAAAACCACAACTAGAATCACGAACCAAGAACGAAATGGACGAGATGGATTCGAAGCGCACCGACTGGTTATTTTTTTTCTTGTGGCTTCCCCTCACAAATCTTAATGAACTGAAACCAAAGATTCAGTTACCAAAGATCCTTGTGACACCCTGACAGTTTATAGTGTATACATACAAACATATATACATATATGTATATGTATATATATATGCATAGATATGTGTGTGTGTATATACAAACACAAACGCGCGTGCGCACACACACACACACACACACACACACACACACACACACACACATATATATATATATATATGAAACATAGACCCATTTTGTTGACATTTTCGTTATTCATATCTGGTATCTTTTGACAAATGTACATAACACTCGTATTTGCTGTGTGGTTGTCAATTTATGTTGATGTATACAGTTGTTTGTATTATTGAGGAAATAAATAACTAAATATTCAAACATGATAACATTTACAAACAGAAATGCAAACAAACGCAAACATCCATCGCACAATTACTTATTCTATCACTAATTTTCCAACTCATTTGCCGACCTAGCCAAGTAGACAAGTAGAAAAGCAGTGATGAAAATGATCCTCCAACCATGGTTACGCCATTGTTACAGTCACACTTTCTCCTGTGTACTGATGGTCAGCCACCACATCTGCTGTCAAACTTGCGGTCTGGCGTTGCGTAAAGGGGATGGGCGTTTGGAGACGCTAGCTGTCCTTGGTGCGGCCATTTCAGGAGCATAGGCATTCGTTTAGATCAGTATGATCTGGTTACTAAAGTAATTGAAATAGAGATGTTCAAATACTGGTATTTGAACTGGACTGCAAAAAGCAAATACTTGTATATGATGCAAGGATCAAAACTCACACACATACACACAAACAGATTTACACTCTTTCACTCTGTCACGCACACACGTGCGCACACACAAACACGCAGACACACCCAAAACCATGCACCTACAAAATCACACATACACACATACATACATACATGCATACACATATATATATATATATATATATATATATATATATATATATATATATATATATATATATATATGCATATATATATGTGTGTGTGTGAAACATGTATATTACTCCAGGGTATGAGTATCAACTGAATCTGGTAGTGGGGTTCTGATCCTGAGGAGTGTGGAACCACCTCTTAACCACTATTGCTCCCAGGTCTACTTCGACCCAGAGCGGAACACCTGTCAGGTCCTATAAATGAGATAAAGAGAAATAAGGGTAGAGGGGACAGTATATCAATAAAAGCAAAGTCAGGTAAAGCAACGGGAAACCACCCTGATCTTTCCCTCAGTCCCGTGGAAAAGACTGAGCCTTGAAAAATCAAACGCAGGTGTCATAAGGGAAGTCACCGCCATGGCACAAGTGGTAGCGCGCCGAACCATGGTTGATTAGGAAGGGCATCCAATCAGGGAAGGGTGGCACTGCCATATAACCTCTCAATACTGAACTGAGGGAGGCCTATGTCCTGCAGTGGAATGAATGGCTGTTAAATATATATATATATATATATATATATATATATATATATATATATGTATGTATGTATGTATATATATATGAATGCACACACACACAATGGCTATGGGAATTCAACCTATACAAAACAACTGCTGCCTTGTAGATCAGTGCCGTGCATGGTCAAAGGTTATGGGAGTTCACCCTATACAAAACATTCCACTGCCTTGTGGCATCTATAAGATGAAAAGGCTTTGGGAGTCAATGCTGAGGAAAAATCCGGAGCTGGAGTCTTAAAGAAGTTCACTGTCGTTTGCGAATCTCGTTCTGGTAACTCCTGCGTGAGTTTGTGTGTGTATACGGACTGGGTAAATGGGTAAGTTTGATTACCTAGACAACCACTCCCCTGGGAAAGGATCACTGGTCAGCCACATACACACATGCAGGAGTTAACAGAACGAGGTTCGCAAACGACAAGAAACTGCCATAGGGACTCAGGGTTGTCTCTCGAAGCCTTTATATCTTATAGATACGACAAGGCAGTGAACTGTTTTGTTTAGGGTGAACTCCCATAATCTTTGACCATGCACGGACTGAACTACAAGGCAGCAGTTGTTTTGTATAGGGTGAACTCCTATAGTTTGTGTGTGTGTGTACACTCCATAAAGGAATATGTGTAAGTAATATATAAATGTGTATGTGTGTGTGCGGATGTGTGTGTGTGTGTGTGTGCTTGTGTGTGTGTGTGTGTGTGTGTGTGTGTGTGTGTGTGTGTGTGTGTGTGTGTGTGTGCTTGTGTGTATATATTTTTTTTATTTATTTATGTGAATATACATATATGTGTGTATGTATATATATTTATATATACATATAGATATAGATATATATTTATTTATTTTCATATGTGTATGTATACATATATATATACATATATACATATATATATATTTATATATATGTGTATATATATATGGATATATATGTGTGTGTATAGATGTATATATATATATATACATGT